TTACCAAACCACCACTTCATAATGGAAACTGATATCTTAATCTTTATTTGTTGCGCGGGCTGCTTGACGGAGTGGGACCGAAAACGACACTGGGAAAATTAATTCCTAGGACTCCCAGGGATCATCTGGGAGTCCTAGGAATCCCTAAGGATTCCTGGGGATGCTCGGAGGAACATGAAGTGTGGTACCTGTTCCTCCTCTGGTCGTCCTGCTTGCCCCCTGGCCGCGCAAGGCGGGCTGCTGCTGATGGGGTTTCGCCCAATAACCTGTTCCGTGGCGCGCGATCAAGCATTCGTATGAGAAGACTTGCAGCCACATGGGAAGGATCCCGCCCAGCAAGGAAAGGAAGAGGGAGGAGGCAAAGGAGAAGAAGGGAAGGAGGAGACGAAGGGGGGAGAAAAAAGGAGGACGACAACGGAGAACCCCTCACTCCCCATCGCTCGTCCTTCCGGCCTCTTACTCATCGGGGTGAGGGGCCAAGCGGTCTCGCTCTGCCCCCGCGTGCGCGGCTGAACTGGATTTCCTCTGTAGAGGTTGTCGTTGTTATTGTCGTTGTTGTCGTTGTTGTCGTCGTCCCCGCGCCCCACCGTCCCAACCGTGACCCGCGACCTATACACGATTTACCCGCGACCCGCCCCCGACCCGCCCACGATGCGACGCGCTGAGCATGGTTGGGCGGAGGGTTTTGACGATTCCGAACGCCGGGGCGATGAGGGGAGGGAAAACATGATTTCGAGGACAAAAAATTCAATGCGCCGAAAGAGAGTGCTGAGCCACTGGCTGGGTGGGGGAAGGGAAAGAACGAACGTCATACCAGGGCCATCGTGCCCGTTGTCAGGAAGAGGTCTCGTTTAATGTATGAAAGCGCCTCACACTTTAGATGGTGCGCCAAATTTCGGTGAGGGTGTCTGGAAAAAGGCTGGTTGGACAAGGTCGCGTCATTTCGAAACGTGTTCGAGACGGTGCGGTCAGCTTCGACCAGGTTCCCAGGACACCCCGAAGTATCGGAATTCGGCGCGTAGCTGACATTGTGAAACGCCCGCACAACTCGCCCAGGCAACTGGTGCGTGATGGCCCTGATCTGACGTTCGTTCTGCCCCCTTCCCCCCCCCCCGCCTTTTGCTCGGCATTCTCGGCGCATCACATTTACAATTCTCGACATTGTCAAACCTAATCTAGTGCCTGCAGCGGCGCGGAGGCCGCTGAAGCCGTGTCAGGAATAAAAAATCGCAGGCGGAGAAGAAGAGAGCAGGCTCATAATCTGGTAAGGAAGGAATTTGACTTGAGAAAAGACACGGCACCCCTCTTCCTCCTCGCCCGCGTCGCCACCATCCCCGCTCCACGGCCATCTCGTCCCCTCAACGCTCGAGATCGTCGACACACAACAGGCCAGCCACGCACCGCGCGTCGCGTCGGGGGCTGGTCGGGGGGCGGGTCGCGGGGGGTAGATCGCGCGGAGGTGTCGCGGGCCACGAATCGCGCGGCGGGGCGCGGGGGCGACGACGATTACAACCGCGATCCGCACAGAAGGGGCCCCACGCCAGCCGCGCGCGCAGGTGCAGCGCGAGACCGCTCGGCCCCGTCGCCGCATTCTGATTGATGGGTGAAAGGCCAGAGGGGCGAGTCATGCGGGGGGGATCGCCGAGGGGGGGCATAAGAGGAAGTGAAGGAGTCTCCTTCTTCCCCCTTCTCCTCCTCCTCCTCCTCCCTCCTCTCTCCTCCCTCCTCTCCTCCTCCTCCCTCCTCCCTCTCCTCCTCCTCCTCCTCCTCCTCCTCCTCCTCCTCCTCCTCCTCCTCCTCTCCTCCTCCTCTCCTCTTCTCCCCTCCCCTTCCCCCTCCCCCTTCCCCCTCCCCTCCCCTCCTCCTGCTCCTCCTCCTCCTCCTCCTCCTCGTCCTCGTCCTCCTCCTCGTCCTCCTCGACGCAGCCATGCGGAATGGTTCGAGCCAAACCGCCCACCGCGTGGGTTGGGAGGGGGCGGGGTCAAACGCCCAACCGCGCGACCCAAAGACCCCGCGACCCCTTAAAGCCAAAGGCCGCCGCACTCCTGACGGGGCCCAAGAAAGAGAGAAAAGAAAGACAAAGAGAAAAGAAAAGAGAAGAGGCGCCAGGCTCACCACGCGGAGCTCCGTGAGCATCACCAGCCCGCCGAAGGCGGGCGGCCCCCATGCCTCCCTAGTTCTTCCTGAACCAGGGGGCGCAAGGGTCCCCGCGTCATCGTGCCGGGCGCGCGGCGCGCATTACCGCCCCACAGCATGCGGGGGCAACGGGGCCTGTGACAGGCCCCTTTGCCCAAGGGGGGCCAGGCGGCACACGTTTTGAGCCGTGCTCTCCACGAGCGTCGACCCGTGGCCACACCCGGCACCCGGACGTCAGGGGCGGGCCCCAACAGTGGCCAGAGCCAGCCCCCGCACAGGCTGGCACCACGCAAGCCGACGCAGACTGGCGAACCAGCCCGCGCCAGCCTTGGGGGGCTACCCACGCGGCCCCAGAACGTCGGGTCCCCGGGGGGCCTGGGACGGCAGACCAACGCCTCACGGGGACCACCCCGCAAACCCGGGGGACCGCCAGAGGCCCGCCGTGGCACCAGCGCCCCTGGGGCAGGGCGCCGCAAGCGATGTTCTGGGTGATTCCAGATCCCCCAGGAGCCCCGCTGCGTCGCCCACGCATCGAGGGTACCCCCTGTGGGCCCTCCTCCTCCTCCTCCTCCTCCTCCTCCTCCTCCTCCTCCTCCTCCTCCTCCTCCTCCTCCTCCTCCTCCTCCTCTTCCTCTTCCCTCATCCTATTCCCCCTCGTCCTCGTTCCTCCTCCTCTCCTCTCCTTCTCATCCTCCTCCCCCCCTCCTCATCCTCCTCCTCCTCCTCCCTTCTCCCTCTCCTAATCCCCCTCATCTCTTTTCCTCCTCTTTTCCTCCTCGTGTCCTCCTCCCTCCTCCTCTCCTCCTCCTCATCCTCCTCCTCATCATCATCATCATCATCATCATCATCATCATCATCATCATCATCATCCTCATCCTCATCCTCATCCTCATCCTCATCCTCATCCTCATCCTCATCCTCCACTCCATTTCTCCTTCGACTCCTCCTTTCCCACCCTTCGCTGAGCGGAATTCGTTTGATGCGAATGACATCCTTCTGGTATGAGTGCTCGTTTGCGGTGCCACCACCAGCCACTACGGACGGACCATGTTTGGCAGCGCTCGGCCCCCGCTTGCCCTCACTGGGCGTTGAGACCGTCACAAAACGACTCGAGATGGAAAGCTGGCTCCACCGGGGGGCCCACATTGTAAAAAGATACGACGTCGGACTTCTTGGACTTCCTCGCTCGCCGCGTTTCTGCGGTGCCCCAGGAAGCGAAGCTGTGCAGCCGCTGGCGTATCCCCCCGTCTGGTGTGTCCGCTTCAAGGTCTGACCTCTTCTCCGGCTGTCCCGTGGCGCGGATCTCCACAGCAAGCCGAACCGTCCGTCTGCCCCGAGAGCGTACAAACATACATGCGTACGCAGTTGCTTCTAGGCGTGTTCGACATGTAGTGATAATTCGAATCTGCGTGTAGGAGATGCGCATACGGTACGATTCGCCATTTGACCCTGCACCACGCTGAGACGCCACTCGTAACACTATCTGCTCGCGAATACGAGCCGCGAGGAGATGTCGTGCGTGCGTGCGCGCATCGAACACTCACACCTACAGAAAGACAAACAAACACGCACAGAGGCATACAGACAGAGACTCACACCGACAGAGACACAAACAGACATCCAGGCGCACCGACGTACATGTAGCCGCACAAGCAAATCTATATACTTCAATGGATCTGGTGACCCCCACATCTCAGTACGGGCATCTAGACATAACAGCATGTCAATTGCACCAACATCTATACAGATATACATATATATATATATATATGTATGTATGTATATATATATATACATACACCCGTCAATTCACGATGACAACGACAACCTCACAAAGAGCACACAGACGGAAGCCGACAGGCATCCAGACGGGCATGGGCATATATTCATATATGCACATACAGAATATAGCAACAGCTGAACGGACGGACGGCCTGCACAACAGACGCACAAACAGCCGCACGCACACGGAATGCGCGCCAGCATGCCGCCGCGCACATCTATCCCATGACTTCTAACCACTACCCAGCCGCCACAGAGCACAGCTCTGCACAACCCGCCACAGCACCGTGCCGCTGCAAAGGTTTTCGGTGCTCCCGGCGGTGGTGATCATCAAGCACGGGCGTCCCCGCCTCGCGTGCCTGCAGCTGGCTTGCTGGTCCCCAGCGGGCTGGGGGTGGGGCCCGTGTATGTGTTTCAGACGAGGTAATAAAAAAGTCAGAGCCCCAGTAGAGGGCAGAAAATCCACTCCGCTAGTAACCACCCCGACACGCGAAGCCGTTTAGCAAACGCACCCAAAGAAGGAATCAAGCAGGGCAGGGCTGTTTAATAAACGCCCAGGGCCGTTTAGTAAACGCCAATTGTCCGTCCAGGTGGTTTTTCCTCCCTTGACGCAGGGCGCATCGAAGCGAGCATGTCTACTGCACAGCTCCTTCCAAGCATGTGATTTGGGAACAAATCTGCGACCAGCCATGAAGGGGCTGCATGTGGCCCTGACCGTGCAGAACCCTCCAAGGAACCACAAATCATACGCCTCCCAAATCAGACCCCATTTCAAGATAATGTCATCCATAATACAATACGGGCTCGACCACAAGAAACCTTCCACAAGAAACCCATCTCTGAGACTCCAGGACGTCCATTGGTTTGTGGTGTAGGAACCTTACGCTTTCCATCGCAACACCATCGAAACCCTAGAAACCCAGGGCACTCTGGAGGCAAGAAGAATGTTTCTTGGCATGGGTCTCCACTATACACGTTCGGCCCCTCCAAAGCGCAGTGGCGGAAATGCGCGGCCGTGCAACCGGAGACACCAGCTCGGACCGAAAGGACGTGGGCGCGCGGAAGCCGCGGGGCAGGCTGGCCTCGTGAGCTCGCTGGAGGTAGGCGACCAACAATTCCAACAACGCCGTCTCTGCTTCTGGTCCTTCAGACACGCTGCCGTCCTCGCGCGCAGGGCAACCAAGAAAGCTTGGCTGGGCTGGGGGTACAGGGTGAACGGTGGCGATCCTGCTGCTACGACATAAAACACCCAGAACGTCTTGGAGGGGGCTGGCTCATGGCCCGCGATGGATTTCGAATCTGCTTCCCCTGGAAGCTCTCGCGCAACATCCCACGGTTTTCCGACATGCCAAATGCAAACCATGCGCCCCCGATTTCTAAACATGCATCGCGAGGAGCGAGAGCTTGTTCCGATAATGTCCGACGGCGATCGGCGTGCCGTCGCCAGGCAGTGATGACCAGACGAAGATGCACAGTGCTTCGCAGGCCGCACTCGCGGAACTGATTACGGAGCGGGTGGAGACCTCCCAAATGGGGTCCGAGCAGATGGGGTCGGACAATCGCCAATGTATCGCCGATGCATCGGCGACGTCGGCAATGCATCGGCACCGTAAGCGTGGAAAACATCGTGTTCCACATGGAGCCGCATCGCCGATGCATCGGCGATGCGGCGCGATCCTCCGACACCATCTACTCGGACCCCACCTGGGAGGCCTAGAGCGGGCAACGATCGAGGAAAAACAACTGTACTCATACATGGACGTTCGGAGCTCCACGCGGATTTCTCTCATCGGCACTGGACCATCCATCTCTGGCGCGCCAGGGGCAACGCTGGAGGCGCCGTCAGGGGGGCCCGGCGGAGATCCTAGAAACCCGTTGGACAAAACAATTATGCCATTGTCGCTTCCTCGATGGGTGGGGGCGACGTGGCTTTTCGTGCTTTTCATCCTTGATATGCGTTTGATGGTCCTGGGGCTGCGTAAGGGCCCCAGGAGGCCGAAAGCTGCCCAAACCCTCGCCAAGTACGAGGAATGTGAACAACATACCTAGGACGAAAACCAATCACGGGGAAGTGGTCCAGAGCTCTGGTGGCCACGTATTGAAAAAATGAGATGTCCGAGGACTAAGGTTGCATCAAGGCGACGCCAAAACTCCACGACGCCGATCAAATCCTCCACGCCTGCTCTGCAAGCGGTTCGAGGCTCGATGCCACGTCCTGGACTTCCTCGGCATGCCAGATCGCACCGCTCGGCATGTGACACCCGACGCAGCATCCTCTAGAGCTCAGGGTCCCCCCACCGCCTCGCAAAAAGGGCCAATCCTCACACCTGAGCGCTGCACCTGAGAATGAGTGGGCTCGAAAGAAAAGGGGGGCCCACCTTTCCGAGGCCAAGGGGGTCTCTACACAATACCAAGGCCGAGTATGGACATGACAAGAGCATGTTGGCTGTGTACAGTAGACACATGCGGTAAACAATCTTTACCTAACAGCGTAGACTGATAGGTTTCTAGTGGTCTCAAAAGAGCTCACAGATCACTCCACAGGGGGGTCTGGGCGGGTGCCGGACAGGGTGCCGCAGAACTCATTTTAAGCCAACAGTCACACACTTCGTGCTCTTCGACTTCCCAGAACTCCATTCCCGGGCCACATTCTGAATGCCCGGAGCCAACTGTAGGCCACTTCGTGCTCTTCGATTCCCAGAACTCCATTCCCGGGCCACATTTTGAATGCCCGGAGCCAACTGTAGGCCACTTCGTGCTCTTCGACTTCCCAGAACTCCATTCCCGGGCCACATTTTGGATGCCCGGAGCCAACTGTAGGCCACTTCGTGCTCTTCGACTTCCCAGAACTCCATTCCCGGGCCACATTTTGGATGCCCGGAGCCAACTGTAGGCCACTTCGTGGTCTTCGAGTTCCCAGAACTCCATTCCCGGGCCAGATTTTGATGCCCGTAGCCAACTGTAGGCAACTTCGTGCTCTTCGACTTCCCAGAACTCCCATTCCTGGACCACACTTTCAGCAGGGGCAAGAGCACGACGAGGAGGAGGACGAGCAAGACCAGGAGGACGAGGACGAGCAGGAGCAGGACGAGGAGCAGGAGGAGCAGGAGAAGAAGGACGAGCAGGAGGAGGAGGAGGACGAGCAGGAGGAGGAGGACGACCAGGAGGAGGAGGACGACCAGGAAGAGGAGGAGGAGGAGGAGGAGGAGGGGAGGGGGAGGACTACCAGGAGGAGGAGGAGGAGGAGGAGGAGGAGGAGGAGGAGGAGGAGGAGGAGGAAGAGGAGGAGGAGGACGAGGAGGAGGAGGAGGAGGACGAGGAGGAGGAGGGGGGGGGAGAGCACCAGGAGGAGGAGAACGAGGACCACCAGGAGGAGGAGGAGGAGGAGGAGGAGGAGGAGGAGGAGGAGGAGGAGGAGGAGGAGGAGGAGGAGGAGGAGGAGAGAACACCAGGAGGAGGAGGACGAGCAAGACGAGGAGGACGAGAACGAGGACGACCAGGAAGAGGAGGAGGAGGAGGAGGAGGGGAGGGGGAGGACTACCAGGAGGAGGAGGAGGAGAAGGAGGAGGAGGAGGAGGAGGAAGAGGAGGAGGAGGACGAGGAGGAGGAGGAGGAGGAGGACGAGGAGGAGGAGGGGGGGGAGAGCACCAGGAGAAGGAGAACGAGGACCACCAGGAGGAGGAGGAGGAGGGAGCACCAGGAGGAGGAGGACGAGCAAGACGAGGAGGACGAGAACGAGGACGAGCAGGAGGAAGAGGAGGAGGAGGAGGAGGAGGAGCAGGAGAAAAATGAGGAGGAGGAGGAGGAGGAGGAGGAGGAGGAAGGAGCAGGAGAAAGAGGACGAGCAGGAGGAGCACGAGGACGAGCAGGAGGAGGAGGAGGGAGGAGGCAGGACGAGCAGGAGGGGAGGAGCACGAGGACCAGGCTGCCCCGGCCAGGTCCTACACATGGCTGTTAGGTTGCTTTGCCGGGATAATTTTACCTAACAGCTTGTTCTGATAGGTTTCTAGTGGTGTCAAAAGAGAGCAGCAGATGACTCCACAGGGGGATCTGGGCGGGTGCCGGACAGGGTGCCGCAAAAGTCGTTTTAAGCCAACAGTCACACACTTCGTGCTCTTCGACCTCCCAGAACTCCATTCCCGGGCCACATTCTGAATGCCCGGAGCCAACTGTAGGCCACTTCGTGCTCTTCGACTTCCCCAGAACTCCATTCCCGGGCCACATTTTGAATGCCCGGAGCCAACTGTAGGCCACTTCGTGGTCTTCGAGTCCCCAGAACTCCATTCCCGGGCCACATTTTGAATGCCCGGAGCCAACTGTAGGCCACTTCGTGCTCTTCGAGTCCCAGAACTCCATTCCCGGGCCAGATTTTGGATGCCCGGAGCCAACTGTAGGCCACTTCGTGGTCTTCGAGTTCCCAGAACTCCATTCCTGGGCATGATTTTGAATGCCCGGAGCCAACTGTAGGCCACTTCGTGGTCTTCGAGTTCCCAGAACTCCATTCCTGGGCATGATTTTGAATGCCCGGAGCCAACTGTAGGCCACTTCGTGTTCTTCGAGTTCCCAGAACTCCATTCCCGGGCCACATTTTGAATGCTGAGGCAGGCTGAGGCTGAGGCTGAGGCAGGCTGATGCTGAGGCAGGCTGAGGCTGAGGCTGAGGCTGATGCAGGCTGAGGCTGAGGCAGCCTGAGGCTGACGCCGAGGCTGAAGGCAGACTGAGGCTGAGGCTGAAGCAGGCTGAGGCTGAGGCTGAGGCAGGCTGAGGCTGAGGCAGGCTGAGGCTGAGGCTGAGGCAGGCTGAGGCTGAGGCTGTGTCTGTGACTGCCGTTGCCACTGCGACTGTCATCGCGAATGCGACTACGACTGCGAGAACAGCACAATTCTACAACTGGATTCTCATCTGAATCTTAAGGGGAATGCTTCCAGATATGCTCCTACACATCGCTGTTAGGTTGCTTTGCCGGGATAATTTTAATGAGAAATCTTGGGGCACATTATTGGTCGATCTTTCGGGGTCCGAAGGTATCCGAAAACTTCTGTAGGCCCCCAGGGCCATTGGGAGATAAGGAAATTCAGGGGGGCATCTGCTGGCAAACAAGTTTCTTACTTGGCGCGTCCTCCACCTTGCCATCAAGTGCGGATTGCAGGGTCGTCCGGTCCATTCGAATCTCTCTGTGCTGAATGCAGCAAGCGCTGTTTGATGGGGCCCATGGCGGAAGAGCTCCGGGCGCTGCCGAGCGCTCCTGGGGCGTGGCTCTCGATGCCACGCGTGCACATCTCTCAAGTGCCCTACGCCTGCCCCAAAAACGGGCCGTCCTGGAGACTATATGCGGGGCATCTTGGCTCGTCTCCGAAGGCTCTGGGAGCCGGACCGCGAGGCCCAGGTCACCGAAAAACCGTTGGATGTTGGGTGATTTTCGCGTGCTCGCCTTGTCGGTCCTGAAGATGCCTATAAGACGGCCCGAGAGGCTCTTAGTGGTGCACCAAGAGGGCCCGAGACGCCCCTCAAAAGACACCCAAGACGCGCCAGAGAGGCCCCAACAAAGGCCGAAGAGGGGGGAAACGAACTGCCACTTCGAGCTATTTCTGTGAGAAGGCCCCCCAGACTGCTTCGTGGCCCCCTGGATGGGGCAACTAGGAATCAGGAGGCTTCCAAATGTTGTTGCGATGTGTTTTGCAGCTAGTAGCGCGGGAGCACGCAGGGGAGGCATCGGTGGAGCCTCAGTCAGCCACGAGCTGGTGCACCATAGCGAATACTAAAGTTGACGCGGCGCTGAGGCGGTGCATAGAGCCTGAGCAGGCACGCAGCAACGCACTCATATCGGGCCATGATGCCCTGGGGCCTCAGAGCCACTCGGTCTTGCCTGGATGGACCTCGGATGGGAGCGCGCGACACCCACTGTCCTCCACCGTGGGGCCAAACAGCTCAGACTCGATGTCTGGCGGGGGGCCCGCAAGCGGCGGCGGCGACACATCCGCGTTGGTCAGCGCCGCAGGTGTGGACGGCGGCGGCAGGCCCTCCCCCCCTGCAGCATCCATCCTCAAGCCCGTCTACGGCCCGCCAGCGGAGGGGGCACTCGGCGCGGCCCCTGCCCCCCCCCCCCCCCCCCCCGCTCGCCCACCCACCCACCCACCCCCGCCAGCAAGGCTGCCGACGGCCA